AGGAAGGAAGGAAGGAAGGAAGAGAGGGAGCACGAAGACAGACAGAAGGAACGAAAGAAAAACATGTAAAGAGAGAGCAAGGGAGGGAGAGAGAGACTGTGGCTACCCCTTCACCCTAGCCCTGGTGAAAGAAGGAAAGAGAAAGACTGTTTTTATGAAGCCGAAGAGCTCAACGCCCGCCAGTACCCCTCTAAAAGTGCCTCTCAAAAGCATTGTGTCTCCCGGGCTCCTACTGATACAGGAAGTCGTCGGCAGAATTGGCATTTATCGCCCCCGAGACTTTTTATCATCATATACCCCAAGCTGTCTTCCAAATATAAAGGCCCCTATAATGTGCCATATGTACAGCCCTATATCACCCCGACAGAAGAAATCAAGAGACCCCCCAACAGCCCTGTGCTTACACATATTTCAGGCCCAGCAAAACAGTTTTGCACAGTTGGTCCTAGGTACTTCCGGCTCGACCGCGAAAGCTGCACTAGCTGCCTCACCTGGCATCAACAGATGGGGGAGCCGGCATTGAATCTGGGACATGAAGTGAGTTCCCAATTTTGGAGGAAGGGTGGGGTTTCTTTCTGGGATTGATGGCGTTCATGGCCTCTGAAGTGGGACAGACTGCGGTGAGCGCAGCACATACGCTTTCGTTTCCTATTCCTTCGCAGGGCAACGGAGTATAGAGAGATGGCTCTCGGCAGCGACGATCCCCTTCGAGTAGTGTGCATTTAGGGTTAAAGTGAGGACAGTCAAAGATCCGGACTTCGATGCCACGCAGGGTTCCGGCAAATTCGAAGCTGTGGCGATACTTGGCGCAAAAGAGACTGGTGCCAGGTCCTCTTAGTCGCCGATTGAACCCTGTAAGAAGGAAGGTTGATCTTCGCGTGGGCGACGAAAGTGACGAACCGACTGCATCGTGTAGACATTACCTCCCAGGCCTCTCCCCAATACATTCTCGATTCTACACTGCTACACCCAGTCAGCACATCCTTAGATATTTACAGCATTGGACTGTCCGAGATGTGAGAGTCCAAGGTTCGCTGTGTTTGGCGGCTCCTGTGAGCTACGCCTACAACGTCCAGGGAATAAGCGGGACTATGTGGCGATCCCCTGCATCAACGGCGCCCCAGGTGTAGTTTCAGGAAGGACAAGCGGAAGTAGCAGAAATGATAATACAGACCTTGACACGGCTATTTACCGTCATCAGTTCATATTGACTTGACATGAGCAGGAGCTGCAAGAATTGATGCTTGAAAGCGTTGTGGTGTAGTCACCGCACATGTTGTAGTGCTCAGATATGTAGTGCGGACACCTTAATCACTACTTCATTGCACCCTTCAGGCAGTCGACATGATAGCAGACTTGAGACGCAGGTTGCTAACAGTTGGTGGTTGGTGGCTACTGTTGGGGCTTGAGGGTTTCAAAGATCTTCCGCACTGTGCAATCATCCATTTTTCGACGCCGCAGACTCCAGAACAGGGTTGAGGCTACCCCCCCCCCGCACAGTCATCCAGGTGCATTGCATCTGATGGGCGCGGCGGCTTTGGCCAGCTGGGGTCTTACTCGAGACGTAGACTCGACGGGGTTGAGATTATGGGTTCACTGTTTAAGGGACTTTCTTTAAAGACGGTGCAACAGTTCTCTTTGCATATCCTTGTCCTGTCCTCAGCTAAGCTGCGTGGTACCCTGCTCTTCATCTCCACAGAGGAGAGGTTCTTGAGTGCGACTTCCCAGCTGGTTTCGAAACCGTACAGTGGGGTGCATTCTCCCTTAGTCCTGCTACCCGGGCTCAAAGGGCAGCACTGATTTGTCTCTGTAAGCGTGGGAACCTCGGCCTCCAGATGTAGACATTACAACCAGTTTCTGGCTGTTTGCAGCCAGCGGCTCTTCTGCACAGTTGAGGATGGCGCTGCGAACGCACCACCTGGGATAACTGGGACAATGGCCTTGTCTCCTTGATCATCCTGGGCCGGCCCTGGGGGATGTCAAGGAGTCGGCAGGGATGATTGAGTCGATTTAGTTGCTGTTCGCGGAGCAAACAGGTTTGTCATTCTTAGGCGCCCATGTTTTCGGAAAGTCAGGAGAAGACTAGCCGCAGTGCCGCCGAACCCGGCGTCTTGTCCGCAAGGTTTTCTGATGTCAAAAGACGTGTTACCAGATAGCAAGAACCAGCAATCACGTGATGACTGCAAGGAAACTATAGAGTGTGCAAATGAAATCCGGCTTTCGGACATGCTTTGAACATGCGACTTGGAACATACGCGAGCAGTGCAGGGCTGCTTGATGCTAGGGTGCGAAGCTACTGGCTGTGTGGTGACAGGACATTGGAGGAGGACAGAGTGTGAGTTGTCCGATTCAGTATGCACACGAAAAGCAAGAACATACTGATAAGGCTGCTTTGTTTGGGTTGGCATCATCAAAGCACATCGCTGGACTGCAGTTGAGCTGGGAGGTGCAACGCGGAATTTGTGGAGCAGGGGCAACAGAAACTATGTAAGGGTGGCACAAAAACCGTACATTGCATCATGGAATCATGCAACTCATGGAACGACTTGTTACAGTACTAGGTTGTCAACAGCAACATCCGCATGTTCGTGTGATAATTCGCCATCTCAGGTTCCACTGCAGATCAACCTTGCCGACCCTCTTTATCGTCCTACGATGCGCATCCGAGTCACACGCCAAGATGTGGATCGACTCAGCACCAACCTCAGTGTTGCGAAGCGGTGATAGCCTGCACTCGGCATGACTGTTGCAAAGCTCGCAACGGTAGTGGTAACTACCCGGACTATTTTGGGGCTGGGGTGAGTCAAGGCCACGATGATGTGATTGTCATGCCGGAGTTCTTTGGCCGTGCTAACGACTGGGATGCATACTACACGCTTTTGCGTGAGGTCCGTGCGACTGGGCCGCATTCAACACGGGAGTCGACAGAACTGTTTCTGTCTACTCCCTACATGTCTGTGGCTCCTTATGAGAACGGCATGTAACACCCTCCCACCTCCCAAATAAACGGCCACTCCATTATTGACATTGGTTTGCCTAGCTAGAGTCAGCTAGAGGATTCCGTGTGAGCGTCACTGTCGATAGAGAAGACACACCCTCAGGAAGGGCAGGCCAATGGCATCGATCAAACGAAGTGGGAGTCCTGGCATGAAGGCCTGGGTGTCACGTAGGACATGTAGGATGGAGTCCTGCACCACCCATGAAAGGGAAGATGCCATCACCCGCCTAGTTTGGGGCATTTGATTGGGGGTATTTGAGGTCATGCAGGATTTTGCCAGGCAGGAGTTTTTTAAGCTTGCTCGGTCGCTCGTTCAAGCACGGCGTTTGATGTTGAGTAAGCCTTTGCATGCGAGGTGCCCACCTCCTGACCAAGAACCCAAGCTGTTCAAGGGCTTTCAACGACGCTTCCTGCTTGCACTGAATCCGCACAAGTCTTCTCGTGCATTGGTAGCACCTTCACCTTCATGTCCACCCGCGGCACGAAGATGTCGAGGTGCTGGACAGAATCTGTGACCATTTCAGCATCGCGAACGGCCACTTGCGGCACTCGGCGAGCCGCGAGGTTCTGGGAATGCGTGTCTTGACTGAACCGCTGCTATTTGACGGGGAATCTCACAAGATCCCTGATGCTCTGGAGAGGCAGTCGCAACGGGGCTCCCGCACGCATGTGGGCCTTTGCATATAGGCGCGGTTGTCTTATCATGGGGCTTCAATATGAGGGAGCTTCAAGCACAGCAGGTTGCTTGTTCAAGATGTGGATCTTATAGTATACTATTTCATATTGTAGTATGATATTATATTCTAGTCTAGTATAGCAGAGTATAGCAGAGTATAGTCTAATATTTTAACACAGTATCGTGCAATGTTGATGTTCAGGATTTTCTGAAGCTCCCAGTGGCCCAGGCTTCAACTGGTACAGGGACGGTTCGGACTGGAAACCTTTCCACCACGACGCGGCCGCCTTCAACCCGCGAATGGCCGAAAAGCAGAACTGCGACTTTGCTGCCGGGAGGTTTAGTTGGGCTCGTTTGTAGTGCAGGGACGTTTTGGCTGCATGACCATGTCGGCGATGGATGTCGCCCCAAAAATTTTACAATCAGTGTGCTGTCCGAGGTAGGCAAAGCCATCATGCCCAATTTAAAGAGGCTCCTAAACTTTTCAGTCTGCTCCATGACTTCGGCTGCGGACTCAGCGGTGCATCCCAGCCAGTCCTGTATACACTGTGCATAATGAATCGGTCTGCCGCAATGCGTTCAAATCGGGGAAGGAATCCCCAAGTTTCACCATCTCAGCTCATCGTCTGCCCTAACCTAAACCCCAAACCCATACCGAGCAGCAAGTCTAGCATGCTGTCTCCATGGTCATAGCCAGCAGACGTAGCATGGAAGGCCGCAGCGGTTACTTAGGCCCCTACGTGTCTCTTAAGGAGGGCTTCAACTTCGGTTTTTTCGGCTTTGGGGTCGTAGGGCAGTGAAAATCCTGCAGCAAGCATGGAAACCTCGTTCCCAGCGCTGGCTCCTGCAGTATGACGGAACTCATCGCCACAACCCCTCAGGACTTAATGCCAGAAATCCTACGTAACATCCACGATTGAAAAAAGAAAACATACTCCAAGGTAGGCCCTATAACAGCTCGGATCCTGATTTTTGAGGATCCTCGGCCCAGCACTCTTTTCTGAAAGCCCACCGAAAAAAGCGCAACGAGGCACCGTGGGCGTGTCCTTCGGATCTTCCAGGGAGCTGGCCTTCCGGAATACCGCCACTGCCGATTTGGTCTATTTTCCACAGCACCTTGGCCGTAGGTTTAGGAATCTCTGGGCTTTTAGGGATACCTGGTTCAAGGGACTTCATGTTTTGGTCCCTGTTTGACTCTCCGATGTAGCATGAGGCGACCGCTGAAACCTCGCAGTGCCCTTTTACTCCCCTCTTGTTGTGTGTTGCAAAGTTGCAACTGCTTGATATTTGTTCGAAGGTTTGCTTTGCTGGGGCTTTTGAAGTTCAACAGAGCTCTTGGAAGCTTGATATCTTGACAATAACCACACCACTACTACAGAGACTCCACAGTGGCAACAGAGGGTTCAGTACAACGGACGACCACCGCTGCAGAAGCGGCCTCGGGTGGATCTCAAATCCGGACACCCTACGCCCCAAACCCAAAAAAAACCCACGGCCCAGGAGCAATGGTATGCTCTTCTTCTTTGGGCGAGACGTGAACATCCGCTGGCAGCGGCTCGGCGAAAGAGGAGGATGTGGAATTGAAACATCTGGTCCTGTAACTTGTGTAAAAAGTCAAACGTGCATGCTGTTTGTGGCATGATGTCTGACAGCACCGAATGCCTCTGTCGTACATGTCTTCTCTGTCTCTGTGCGTTGGATTCTCCTTCCAGCAAGTGCTTGTATGGGGCAAGCACGCCGCGGCTGTTTTAGTGCCCTTGGCAGACATGCGCTGGATTTCGTGATGTAATGCCGAGAACCCTTTATCCTACAACGACATTGCGCTAGCCCGTTCAATTCAAAAGAACCCCAAGCCCAAATAGTTACACTTAGTAGCCTGACATCAAATCGCTTTAATCCTGACAGGAAATGCGAGTTTCTGAAATGGATCCCACTCGGCGCGCGCAACAGGTACCACTAGTTTTCTGAAACACCCAAACGGTAGTTTTTGCTGTAGGCACGGACTGAACGCCCTGCCCCTGGAGCAGCAGAGTGGCAAGGGCCGAATCTCGATCATCCTGTGCCTGGTCTGAACTTCGAATCTACGATCTATTCGGGTCAAAGGTTTACAGTGCCGGTATGTATGTCGGTCTCGCATGACCACGTCGAGTGCGAGTGCCAAGAATAGATATACACACGCACACACATACAAGCAGAGCTACATGCATGCCAAGTAAGCCTTAAGTAAGCCTCGAGACACCCCATGCGGGAGCCCAATGCATGCATGCCCCGGTATATACCTACCTACCTACCTACC